CGATACAGGGCTAAATTAAGAGATTTAAAAAATGTTCCCGGATTTTAGGGTTGACATTACAATTTACCCTCACGAGTAACGGAAGTGTCCATGACATGTGTATGTATATAAGAGTATGCTTGTTTCCTCACGACCTTTCTTTCTCCATTAAATCATGTGACATTCTAATATATACTATAATTATTTGTTCAAATGTAATAGGCAAGCAGTTAACCATAATCTCACGGTGTGTGATCGAAAGCGGAGTACGATTTCTTAGAAAGTGCCTATTCACTCTCAGCTTGTAAAACATTGTGGCTATTCTTATCAAGAAAAAACGAAAGCGAAACGCGTTTTGCTACATTAATTAGAACAGACAAAATATCCTTACAAGGCTTCCTCTTTGGCTCTTAATCAGTGTTATAAGGAACATGTTATGTGTACACAAGATTAATAGCACAGCTATTGACGTGATATGCGTCTCTCTACATTGATGTGAACGCTCCGTGCACTAGTTCGTGTAAATTGCAATTTAACCGCACACTAATATTAATGGCTGTTTGAACATAATCTGGTATGGATAAGAACTCATTAACTTACCTGTCTTTATCTTCACTGTAGTCCATATTTAGCGTACTATTTATTCGCTGATGTAATTTAACGTCATGTTGCATACAATAAACTAAACTACTTTTACACAACAAATTATAGATCTAAAAATGTAACGCTATTGAATATTTTCTATCGCATTGACATAGTTTTATATATTTGTTATCAACTTATGACGATCCTTGATGGAGAATGATATTTGATATGTAATTTAATGACAACAATATTATTATAAATGAATTGTAAATTTAAAATTATTATTTTTTTGTTTGACGATCTCAATATAATTCCGTATACTTTGACACGTAGTGCAATTTATATTGTAATATTATCTTTGAGAAATAAAAGAATCTGAATCTGAAGCTATTATTTATTACATTTACTACTGAACAGCGAACACGGTTTTGTGAAACATATTTCTTGTAAAACATTGCTAGCTTTTACGATTTTCACACATTATTTGATTTTTAAATCGAGATTTAATCATGTATTTTATTTTACCTCAACTTGACGGATGTGCTGCAAAGTCCATGGTCTCGAAGAGATAATCCTTAGTCGGACCATACTGGTGGAGTATGTTCACAAAAAATAAATTATACGAACACTTACAAAAAATTCCTTCGGTCCAGCCGGATTAGAACAGACGTCTCCTAGCAAACCGTGCCAGACACTATGCCAACTAAGCCACGGAAAGAACCAGCGGACCTCACGAATTTCTATGTGCGTGTTGTCGGATCTTTGTATTTTGTTTTCAACGACATTTTAGCCGTAGCGCCATGTATGAGAAATCTATTAAAGTATTTCGTCACCCAGTTCGTTAACTCTACAGCTACCAGCCCTGTCGAAGTCAAAGTAAATATTACTGTAAAAATTATAATATTATTGTAGCAAAACATCATGATATTCAATAAAATCAATATTACTGTACACATTGCTTAGATTTACGTTATAATTTTCTCATGTTATTACACCTGTCTCTCACTCACTGAGAACGAAGGTGTATACCATCTCGAAACTTATTAATTTAAGATCGAACTTAATTTATTATTTTAATTTTTCATACCTATACTAAAGTTTATTATCTTTCGAAAATAATAAAATATGAATGGGCCGCAACTTGAATCATCCTTAATGCGTACCCTTAGTAAAGTCACGTAAAACACAAAGCTTAATGGCTGCGCAAAATTAAAAAGCGAACGGGATGGAGGTTAATTTGTTAATTAATAGAATACGGGCGGTGAAACGGTGCGACGGTAGAGAGTTGATGGTTGGAATATTGGTAACCTAGTGACATAGTAGCAAACTGGAATAGAAAATTATAACTTTTTTATAAAAAAAAGACCACAAAAGTTCGTGGAATTACATTTAATTGCCACGTTTTATGGAGATCGCTTACCGGAATCGTGCGAAACCGCATTTATCCCCTAATTTGCCATCCTTAGAGGTGGAATATTTACTTCAAATTTAATTGGAACCAATACTGAGGTACACTCTTTCCAAAAAAAAAATCAAAATCGGTTCACATGCCGGAGTAATCGCGTAACATACCTACACAAAAAATACAGTCAAATTAAGAACCTCCTCCTTTTTAAATCGGTTAACAAGTCTATCATATAATCGATAAGACAACGTTTGACTTCAATCTGTACTCTGTACAATAGATTTCTGCTTGTAGCCAATTGTCATGAGCACAAGTATGTGCAGAGATTGTGATGCGATCTTGACAGCAATAACGGTAACTAACTTTTAACTTTACAAAATATTTTATTTCATTTTAACGATATTTTTTACTAAGTTTATTATTGCTTTTAGAATTAGAAATAAACCAAAATTAAAACGTGTTAATTAGGACTGCAGTCTTATATCTCCTTCGGATTTTTCATCAGAGGAAATACTGGATCCCAAACTCCTGAGGATTTTCCGATCTTGTCTGTAACACCTCTCACATTAGGTAAAAAGGCAGGCTTTCGCTCGACCATTGATGGTTTTATAACTTTTAATTATCTTTTGAGTTGTGCAAGGAACAGATAAGTTAGACAGTTTTGTCTTAAAACTGTGAAATAAAATTTCGGTAATTGCCAACTGACATTTAAGCAAGTAGATAGTAGCAATAGTGCTCCTTGTGAAAGAGTTCGCCAGGGAAGTACTGCCACCTTACCTATTTCTGCCACTAAGCAGTAATGTCAGCATTACTGCGTTCCGGTTTTGAAGGGTAAGGGGTGATAGTGAAATTGCAGGCACATGAGACGTGTCAACTAATGTCTCAGGATGACGGGCGCAGTGGCAATGCCCCTCAGAACTTTGTGATTTAAAAGTCTGAGTAGTACTGCAAATGTTATGGACAGGCGTTTAGTCCCGTCACTTGATATTATAAAAAAAGTGGATGTATTGACTGCAATGCGGTCATTATAGCACTTACGGTAACAAACAACTTTAAGAGTCTCATAGGAGTTGAGCAATAACGTTGTCCACCGCATAGATTACAGTTATGGCCAGCTGTCATAAGCGCAGTAGATGTAGCAATTGCTATACGATGTCTACAGCACTCACGGAAAAAAACAACTTCAGCTTCACTAGAGCAGATAAGTAGTACATTTGTCTTAAAACTGCGGAATAGACATTCGGTGACGGCCAGCTGACGTAAATGCAAGTAGATGAAACTAAAACTGATTGTTATGCGATTTGTACAGCACTCACATTAACATACAACTTTTAAAAAATAATACTTTTTTTCCGTTTTACAAAGGATATAAAGTTTTATAAAGTAATTTATATCAAATGCCTAAGTAGCAAATCTACCTTTGTAAGGGATTGGCGTCCATACTAGGAATTAACCTGTGTGACAGATCTCCAGACTCAAGGCAAGGCAGGTCGGGCTCAAAGGCAGCATTACAACGTAAATATATTTAAATATCAAGTTCTAACAGGATTGTAAGCTATTACAGAAAATAAAAGTGATGATGTGTGTGTGTGTGTGTGTGTGTGTGTGTGTGCGCGTGTGCGCGTGTGTGTGTGTGTGTGCGTGCGTGCGTGCGTGCGTGTGTGTGTGTGTGTGTG